TAACGGTTAAGGTTGCGATTATCTGATTGGAACTGTGCTCCTTTATTGGCAAATGCCAATTGGAAATGCGAGGTGGCACAAATCCAACTGGAAATGCAAATGCACTAAAATTAGTTACTTTCTAGGGATTTGGAACAAAAACTTAAAGCACTATCCCTATATCATTCTTATAATCTAATTGTTTTACACTTTGAAGGGATTTTAAACCCACCTTATGAAGAAAATAGTATTCATATTAGTTTACGATTATATGAAGAAAAACGACTGATAATTATTAAGGTAACATTATAATCATATCATAATATTTATTAAAAATTCGAATAACCATGAATTTATACTGATAGGTATTATAAAAAATAGTTTCAAATAAGTTAAAACAACTATCTATTTTCTACGAATTCCTAATCAAAGGTGTTTAATTTAATTTAAATAGCAAAACTTGAAATTGACATTATTATATTGCACAAACTCATACTGAAAGATATTTCCACATAAAAGCAATTTATAAGATACAACTTGTTAACATTTTAGACAATATTACTCGGATTTGGGAGCGACTACTGTGGGCTTATCCCGCGTTTATTTAAATTCCAGGTCAATGAGGCGTGGTCAGCGACACCTCACTTTTTGGGGCTCTACATTCTACAAACATAGACTAATTAACCGTATTCGGTGGGTTCTGTTCTGGCCGACAAAGTAGCCCCATTGTCATTCATATGGGCCCGAAAGCAGTGTGCGCCGCTGGCAGCGCAGTCGGCATCGACAGCGACGTCAACGGTTTTGGCTGGGCGTTCAAACACAGTTATGTTTCGAGTTTTTTGATTCTTTACTTATAGTGCAATGATCCGAGGCAACTTAATTGCTTTTCGTTTGGGCTTTTGGTAGCAGCAGCAGTCAATCCCAGTGGGTTTTTCCAGTATAGCTGCCACTTTTGAGAGAACTTTGCGCTACGCTGCACTTCAAATGCTCAATTGTTGTCTATCAAAAAGTGCTCCCCACTCCATGGAACTTTGTCATTGTGGGAGGACGCATAAATAACGCCACTGATAAAAAATGGGCGAAGGGCGGCCAGCGAATCTAAAGCTCGTAATTATGGCCAACCAGCTTGCTAGCCAGCTTTTTATTTATTTTTTTCCATTTTTTTTTGTTTTATCAGCTCTCAGCGTTTCACTTACATAAGCTGAAAAAAAGCGGAAAACACGTTGGAAAATTGCTCTGTGAATGCGAGAGCGTCTGTTTGTGAAGTTGGAAAATTTGAATTTCATCAACGGCAAGCCAAAGCGAAAGCAAAGACAGCGGACAAAACAATCATGATAATTAAATTGAGTTCACTGATGCGTATACTTAACATTAAATTCAAAGCCAGAAGCAAAGCAAAAAAAATAAAAGCTGCTGCTGCGCTGCTACCTCTCAGTCAACGTCGGAAAAAAAGCATATAAAAATCAGCAACTGCTTTAAAATCGTAAAAAAAAGAACCTTCAACTGCCAGGCGTTTTGATTTGCTTCCTTTTTCGGTTTGCAGAGGATGTGCTTGTTGTTAGAAGCGGAACAAAAAAATTATATAGGTTAGCACTAGTAGCCTTCGCATCCCTATCCCAATTGGAACTCGCGCTATATACTCGGCATCCAGAGAAAGAGCGAGAGAGAAATGTAGAGAGAGACGCGTGAGAAGCGCAGAGAACCCAGAAAATGTGTGCCGTGTTCGTGTTGGGGGCATGCAAATGTGGGACGACTGCCCACGCAACACCCACTTTTCCTCCCACCGCCAACAACAATGTTGCCAAGGAAAAGGAAATATTTTTCAGTGGATACTGGCTGGGAAAAGTATAAGCACAACAAAAAATTACCACATATTTCTATATATTATTTTTACATACATAAAAACAGCTCAAATTGTATATATAAGTATACTTTTTGAACCATAAAAACCAAACATTGTAAAAGAAAATAAATCTATAACGCATTCAACGGATCACTTCTAAATATATCATAGAGATGGCATGTATTAATGAGCTGACAAAATCGTAAAAAAATATGATTATCCTACAATAATTCTTAAACAAGAATCTGATTTAAAATCATAGCATTAAAATATTTCTTATAAATAAGGAAACTTGACCTATGAACGTATAACTAATACCTTAAAAAAAACCTGGCCTTCACTTTCCCAAAATTTGCGTATCATAATAACGCACAAAGTTATTTTCGTCCAACGAAATTCAAATTAAATTAGGAATACTTAACGTTATCAATTTAATGAGGCAAGTTGGGAATTCCCTTCTGGGGGTTGGCCAAATCGGCCGTCAAAGTGTGCATGCCCCAAACTCCGCGCGAAGGGCAGGCGGAAAATCAAAGCCACTTTTTGCGCTCTTAAGTGCAAAAATCAAACACAAGCAACCCCCCAAAGCGGTGGAGCTGCTCTCTCCCTCTCTAGAATTTCTCTCAAATCACTCTCGCGAATCTCTCCCCCGATATCTTGCCATATCTTTGGCTCTCATCACTGGCTCTTCGTGTGCATTATTTATTGCTCTTATACAGGCCGAATGCTTGACGATGACGAAGGTACGCTCCACTGTCAGTGTCACCACCCCCCACGCTGTCACTCTTTCTCTCTCTTTCGCCACCTTTCCCTTTCGCTCTCTCGGTTTGGGCCCAGTTAACTAGTAAACCAGCAACCTATAATGGAGCCTCTTCCGCGTTGTTATCCCTAGCCTATCCCCCGTATTCCCCACAGAGAGAAAAATGATCAGCCATTAGTCATGAATTCGCAATCGTTATGATGTAACGATGGATTGTCAAGGGAACCGTTTTTGGATACTTATTTTACCTTGCGTGAAATAAATTGTCTATAGGGATAAGAAATGTTATCCCTTAGCAGAAACCATATTTTTAGCCTGACGACCTATAGGTAAAGCCTATTTTTAATTCTTTTCAGATAACCTTTAGAAATTATAGTTCTTATAATAAAAGAATTTACATTTATAAAGCTAATATGTACTGATATAAAACATTTGATATCATATAAATCATTCAGATATCTTATAAGGTACAAATAAAAGTACAGCTTTGATAAGATTGTATCAAAGATTACTTTCGAGTGTAACACTTGTTTAGAATACCATAATTTTTAGGAAAGGCTTTAATGTTCTAATTTCTAACCCTTTCTCGACCTTTTCTTGTTGCGCACTTCCCAATTTGATCCCTTTTTTTTGCATCCCGGAAAATGAGCACCAGCTGTCTGCCATTCTCTTTCGATTTCCCCATTTAATGTTGTTTGTTTTGTTTCGCGCCCGGTTGTATAATAAATAACTTTGAAATAAATCAAATCGGATCCTGGCCCAATGGACACATGTTAAATGGACCGGGAAATGTAAGCGGGGGCATCATCATCAGATCTTTTATTGGGTCAAAATCAACAAGAGCAGCGGCGCTGGCGGCGACCTTAAAACGCATTAGCAGCCGCTGTCGGCCAAGTCGTAATAATTTTATTAGCAAACATCAGAAATATAAAAAAAATGCCGCTGGTCGGTGGCAAAAGAAATAACAGAAATAAAAGCGGCTACAATTTCGAAAGGTGTTGGCTTTTTTCAGAAGTTCAAATTCAAACGGTGAGTGGTGAGTGGGGCGGGGTGGGCGGTATGTGGAAGGTGTAAGGGGGAGGGGTTGCGACAAGTGCAGGCGGCTCAAGGTAAAAGTGCCGCAGTCGCAGTCGCTGCCGACGCCAGCAGCGCTGCCGACTGCACCTTCGGTCGAAATCCGAGTGCAAGATCAAGTGAAGCGAGTGGCCGAAAAAAAACTAGAGAGCCAACTACGAAAGCCAGAGAGCAAGCCATTTATCATTTTACATTATAAAAGATAAGCTATCGACTGGGAGATACTTGGTAGAAGTTACCATAACTAAGCAGAAGTCACATAAAAGTACTTCAGTTCTATAAATACATTCCGAAAGGCAAGTTTTCTTGAACTAGATAGCCTGGAAGTTAATGATTTAGGTAGTATAGGTTTAGGAACCCTTAAAGATACTGATACAAAATGAAGAGCAAGATGGACAGCTTTTCAGAGATTGCAAGAGGTTTTTAAGGAACTCTTGTTGAAAAACAAAATTATTTCATTAGTATTAAAAGCCCGCGGCATATTACATTTACATATAAGAGATCTTTTTTACAATCCTGGTATTAGCATTGCATCCCTATCTTAAATTTGTGGACTTATAAACAATGTATTACATAGTATTACATACTATAAAACTTTCTGCTTGCTAAAGTTATAAAACATTAAAAAGTTCATTTAGAAACCCCTTCCCAATCCTTCTCAAATACATAAGATTGAAATTGAGATAACTTTTAGCTGTACAACAAGCTTCATTAAAGGTTGTAACAGATCTTCAACCATAGATAATTCCATCAAATCCCACTCTATGGACAGGGTATTTAAGTTGGCCGCACCGGTGACAATCAGACACTCTGTCCCTATCTCCCTCCCACCTTCCGCGGCCCTCTCGCTCGCACATGTGCATTCGTAGTGGTAGATTTGTTTTTTTTTAGGCATTCTGGATCTGGAGGCGATGCTGTTTAGGCCTCTTTAGACAAGTGGCAGAGCAGCGACGTCGGCTGAGGCGGCAACTGCGACTGCGGCAGAGGCAGAGGCAGCTGCGACTAGATAAAAAGAACAAATTGACTAAGCACGAAACACGTTTTAGCCAGACTAGCAGCTCGAATCGGAATCGGAATTGGAATCGGTGCGAGCAGGACGGCGAATGACACACTGACCCAATTCCGGGTCTTCGATTTTCTGGTTTTCCTCAAGAATACACGTTTTCCACTGCATAAACACACACACACACACGCATAGGTAGTATTGCGCGAAAGAGGGAGAGCGGCAAAACGAGTTGCATGGCCAAGAATTTTCGCCTGGCATTTTTCATTTTCCCTGCGAGTGACATTCCCCAATAGGAGGTAAACCCCCCGAAACCCTCTTATTCTTCTATAGGAAAAACTCACCGTTAGATTTCCGATTGCTTCCAATACGTTATTCTCAGGCTGCGTGGTCGTTACGTAGCGTCTTACGTGAGGGGACACAGTTTACAGTTACAGTTGCAAGTGGCTTTCCTGGAACGCTGCTGCCTTATCATCTATATCTCTTGCATACGCTTGTCATGGGATATATTTACACATATATCTCAAGATATCCACATATAATATTATTCAATCTTGATGCGTGGTTTTTAACGGACGTTGAACAAGAACAAGAAGACCAAAAGACGTTGGGGGCGACGAGTTTAAGATTGATATTTTCTTGTTTTCTTTTTTTTTTTATAAATTTATTTTTCTATTTTCGATACTTGGTGGTGTTTGCTTGTATTTATTGTTGTGTTCCGATTTATAACTATTTTACTTGAATATTTATTTTGCACTAGAGAACTTACTTCCTACGAATCACAATTAGAAATGAGTGTGAGGCGATGACCGAAAGGAAAACTCCCGTCAAAGTGAAAAACTACGCGCCGTCTACTTGGGCAGCCGAAAAAACAAAACACAGAGAGAGACACATGTGTTTTTATTTTTATTTCTCCAATTAATTGGGGGTGCCAAGGAAAATTCAGCGCGGGTGGTGTTGGTGGTATGGGGGGGCAGTTTCAAAGGAAAACCCAGGCGAAGCCAAAGAAAACTCCCTTCAATATTTACCGTTTGGCGATATACAATTCTACAACTGCTCTCGTGACGTAACGCGACGGCGACTGGTGGGACTGAGTGAAAAACACAGCTACGGCGCGTAACTCTGGTCTGGTGGAAATGCGGCGCACGAATTTCACGCATTTCCCTTTTCAAAAAAGAGCAGCGAGCAGCGCGAGAGTGAGATGGGTGATGGAACAGCTGTTGGATACTGGAAAAAAATACCAAAATAACGCCTTTTCGCTCCAGTGTGACCTTGCCAGCCGTTCTTTGCCCATATTATCGATTTTCCACTTGTTGCTGCTGTTGGTTGATTTTTCCCCGGAACCCCAAAGCAAATTAAAAGCTACAGGCCGAAGCTCAAGCTTAAACTTGACTTGAAATTTATTCTCCCGATTACTACCGGTAGAACTGGTCTCGCGGTTAAAAACCCCAGCTGCGTTCAAAGCTCCCGCCCGATTTTGACTCACTGAAGTCGGAATTCTCGTGTTTCTTTGCATTTAGTTGAAACCAAGCTTTAAAACTGGCAGCACGCATCATGTCCGCAGGTCGAGTGTTTATTTACGGCGGCAAGGGAGCCTTGGGCTCGGCCTGTGTCGATCACTTCAAAGCCAACAATTATGTGAGTTACCTTTCACTTAAGTGTAAATAATTATACAAAAAACTAATGCCTCATTAACTATTGTTTTCCCCTTCAACCTTCACCTGGATATCCCCTCCAGTGGGTGGGCAGCATCGACCTGTCGGAGAACGAGAAGGCCGACGTTAGCATCGTGGTGCCACGCGATGCTGCTTGGTCGGAGCAGGAGGAAACGGTCGTGTCCAAGGTGGGCGAATCCCTGGCCGGCGAAAAACTGGATGCCGTGATCTGCGTGGCTGGCGGCTGGGCTGGTGGCAATGCCAAGAAGGATCTGGCCAAGAATGCCGATCTCATGTGGAAGCAGAGCGTCTGGACCTCGGCCATTTCCGCAGCTGTGGCGGCCCAGCATCTCAAGGAGGGAGGACTGCTGGCCCTGACTGGTGCTAAGCCCGCTCTGGAGGGCACTCCCGGCATGATTGGTTACGGAATGGCCAAGGCAGCTGTCCACCAGCTCACCCGATCTCTGGGCGCTGAGAAATCCGGTCTTCCAGAGGGCTCTCTGGCCGTATCAATTCTTCCAGTAACCCTAGATACTCCCATGAACCGCAAATGGATGCCGAACGCAGACTTTGGCACCTGGACTCCTTTAACCGAGGTGGCCGGCCTCTTCCTCAAGTGGACTCAAGCTCAGGAGAGGCCCAAAACTGGATCCCTGCTGCAGCTGATCACCAAGAATGGCGTAACAGAGCTGATAGCCGCCGAATAGGTCTGAAGACAAAGATACGGACCCACTTATTGAAAGAACCAAAATGCTCAAAAAACATATTCTAAATGCTTTAGCTTGTACATAAACTATTCATAAATAAATCGCTGGGCGGCTTTCGATCGTTTAATGTGGGTCTGTTTACACGTTGCTTGGGGGATAACCTTTTGAACTCGGGAGCGGGACCAGCGTTAAGAGCTTACTTAGAGTACAATCTTAAGTTTGTTCCTACGTCTTCTTCTTCTTCATAATCTTCATGAACAACACCATACCTGCAAAATAAAAGGGGAACAAACTCATTAGTATGATTAAGCAACAGTCAATCTGCAATAAATCGATCCAATTAAAACAGTTTGTTTTTGAGTTGAGTCATAAAAAACTTGTTTTCCTGATATATGCAAGTTTTAAGCTTTTTTACTCGGTAATAAACATTTATGTAAATCAGTATTACAATTTTTCGTTGTTCTTTTAATAAATATTTATAGTTTAAGTAAAAAAGCTCAACTAGTCTTGGAAATTAGGAAACTATTTAAATTAACACTAATAAATGTTTTTGTATGTTAAGAAATTTGGTAAATGTAGACACCAAATAGTTTAACAACAGTAACCAAAGTTGGATTTACCAAAGGGGGATTTCTTTTTTGAGATCCCAAACTAAATTGCCCATGACTCACCTATAAAAGTGACAATAACAAAGACAATCATCAGCCAGAGCCAGCACTTGTAGGCTTTTTTTGAGTGCTGCTCCAGTTTCTCAGCCTCTTTTCCCAGGGAATTGATATTGCGATCCGCCATTCCGGTAGATCGAGACACAACCTCCGTGTCCCTCCGGATAATACGGTTAGCAGTCTCCGTCTGTTCCTTCAAATTCCGGGTCAGTGAGAGCATGTGCTCGGTGATCTTCTCCTGGGCATTTGTATAATACTTGGCAGCTTCGTTCATATTATCGCCAGAAGTTGTCTGTACGGTGGTACCACTGGGACTAGGAGACGAATCCTCTATAACTCGACGCCTACGCAGGGCATCTCCATCTAAAAAGCATTGAGCAATTTTAAAAATTTGTTGGTTGTAAGTCAGGGACAAACTACTTAAAAGCATTTAGGAAATAATTTACAAACTACTGAAGCATACTTTTAAAGATCTAATTGTTCTATTTCTATCGATCTATAGTAGTGATTACTATCTTGATGCGTTTTCTATTTAGTTACTCACCAATTAACAAATATAAATGGTAAAAATATGGATTTTTATCAAAATTAGAAAAAAATTGGTATAGATTTCGTATAGCTAAGGTTATAATATACATTAATATAGATTAACATTATTTCTAACGGCCTTCTGGAACCTTCATTACCCTGCAGCAGCTCTTTTCGCAGTTCGTTGTGATGTTTGCTGTTCTGCAGCTGCCTCATTTCTTTCAGTGCATTTTCCCCGGCTTCGCTGACTGAAGAAGGTTGCGAGGAAGTATTTGTTGAGGAGCTGGGGGCTTCCGTAAATCCGGTGGATAGTTTCAAGGCCTTCAGACGCTCCTTATAGCCCGGGATACGGGTGGCACTCTGCGGATCGTCCATCGCCTCCAACTCGGCGAGCATTGTGTCCAGGGACTTGATGAACTTCTGCAGCCGCCAGAAGTTCTGCTCGCTCTTGGCCAGGTCCTCGCAGTTGGCCAGCAGGGTCCGGATATTTACATTTAGCTTCGTGGCCATTTCCGAGGGGAAAACATGAAAACAACAAAGTACAAATTCCTAAGTGAATTTAAAATACCAAGAATGACACTGTCGCCCTCTGGTCACATTAAGCTGGCGATTGTGTTATATCGATAGCTAGTCACGAGCAGTGATGCCAAAATATTTTAAAAATGTGGCTAGTTCCAAGAAAAAAATAGTTATTACTTAAGAAAGTTATAAAATGTACAAATTTATAGATCTAGATTCTAGTGAAAGCTTAACTCTTGTTTTTAACTTTTTAGAAACTTAAGATACAAAGCTTCTAATGAAAGATTTGTACACCTCTTAAATCGAATTATTTATTAATGTGTTCTGTACATATATAAAACACAATAATGTCGTGTCCTGCTTTTCGCGCAGTGTATATGCCGGCTAGTCAACGAACATCCCAGGGAGGGGAACAACCAACACTGTTGTCTACGCAGCAGACACAACAAAAAAAAAACAAACAAAACGGAAATTCAAACTCGGACAACTGGCAATTTCACGACGGATTTTTCTCGAACATCTGGACTGGACAACACAGATCTTATTGTGGTCCTGGAGTCCCTCCCAACCATGAGTGTATCCTTCAACATCATTTGGACACATCTCCCAATCCTGGTCGGTGGATCCTGCTACCTCGCCTAACTCATCTCACCCCCAACACGAATCTCTACTCACACGACTTCATTTCGTTTTCACGTTATAATTCATAATTTTTGCTTAAATTTTAACATTTTATAACCCTACCTACGGTACCGCACTTTCACAGGGAACACATATATATATATATAAATAAATAAATAACAATAAACAATATTCCAATAGTAAATAAATAGGTTAAATAAATAAATAATTTAAATGGATATAATTAGGAATAACTTAATTTGGGCGGGTTACATAATTAATATCATCAGTCTCAAATTTGGTTGTATTAATTTTCGGCTTTTTGAATTGGTTTGCCGCTTGTAGCTTTCGGGAACCTTTTGCTAATTCTGTGGCAAAATGTAAGGGGCGAATAAAAACCTGGGGCCACCCGAGGATGAGCGGCCAATTTTCCTGTCGAAAATGTAGATCTCCTCCTGGTGGCTGGTCTTCGTCTCTCCTTACGTCAGAATATTTTCCTGCTCCAGACTTTTCCCTCACGGAATATTCTATAAATATTTATATTTCAACTACACTCACATTAACAAGGATTTTTTTTTTTATCACTCACTGGAACTTGACTTCTAATCTTATATATTTTTTTTGTCCACCAGAACCGTCTGCGACCAACTATATTTGCCCTTTAAACACCCTTGCTTGTTTCAATTTTTCAAGCCTCTCTTAGCCCAAAAACCACTCAAACTTTCCGAATTTAAACCTTGGTTCATTTGGGAGTTATCCGGTTTAAGGAACCAGTTCCATGACTTGTCCAAGCTGTACGACTCCCTGAACTCACGAGTCGTCGATAGTGTTGTATCGATTTTTCGACTATCGTTATCAGTCCTAATGTAAACAGCTTTGCTAAATTTACAACTTGTGCATATTTCCTTATCATTTAGCACATAACAAGCACACTACGGTTTCGATGCTCGTCTCGGAACTGGAGTGGAGGATGTGCGTGTTCTGCTGGTTGTACTTCCCAACGTAGGCCACCGCCCACAACCCTGAGATTAATGCCTGGTGAGTGTGATTTGCTAGCCGGGCACTATTGTTTCAGATCCTTTGCATGGAAAACTCCCAAAGGATTGCCGCGCAAGTTTTCTAGAGCGTACAAAGAGTTTCCCAACGCTTTTGTGACTCGACATTTAGTGTACTTTCTGCAAAACTTGGAATTTCTATTCTTGCTGAAGTCACTTAGGACAAAGTTTCTCTTGTATATTTCTTGTCCCGGTGAGTATCGAATCTCTCGGGCCTTTAAGTTATAACTCTTCGCTGCTTTCTCGTAGGCCTGATGTATCCTTTCCTTTATTCTTTCTCTGGATAGCTGTTGTCGTTCCGACCTGGGCAATTGGGCTATCTCAGCTTCATTCAGGGCATTCAACTTGCGAGCCAGCGAGTAATCTTTCCCGTTCGTGAACATGTGCTGTCCGAACATGGCAAAATACGGCGAAGTTCCGGTGCTGCTATGTATGGATGACCTCAGCGACGCTTGTACGTCCGGTAAGTGTTCATCCCATCGCGTGTGGTCATCTTGGATGTTTACTCGGATTGCTGCTAATACGGATTGGTTCACTCTCTCCGAAGCATTGGATTGTGGTGCGTATCTCCCTGTCTTCATGTGTGTAATTCCATATTCTTGTAGCATATTCTCGAATTCCTTGGATACAAACTGCCTTCCGTTGTCCGTGTGGATTGTTTCCGGAACTCCGAATTGGGTGAATATTCCTTCTTGCAGGAATCGGATTACAGCTGTCGACGTGGCCTTCGGCATCGCTTTTAGCCACACAAACTTGGTCAAGTGATCTAATGCGATAAATAGCATGGTATTTCCTCGGCGAGACCGCGGATATTTTCCTAAGAAATCCAGGTACATCTTTTGCATGGGTCGATCTGTCCGTACTTCCTTCCCCATCACTGGTCGCTTTATCTGTGTGGTGTGCTTGTTCTCTTTGCAGTTTTCGCAGGCTGCTACAAAGTCTCGGACTTGAACTACCATTTTGGGCCAGTAATACATCTGCTGAAGTCTCGCCAAGGTCTTTGCCATACCCCCATGCATCGCCATGTCACCGCTGTGGGCTTGCTGGATTAAAGTTGTCGTCAATGCTTCCGGAATCCACAGTTTCCATTCAAATTCCCCACTTCCCTCTCTATTGAAGTGTGTCTTCTTGAATAGAAGTCCTTCTTCCACACGTAAGTCCGGAAATTTATCTCTTCCTTGCTCTTCAACCAACTGCAGTCTTTCCAGGTATTCAGGACTCTCAAATTCAGTTGTTTCAAACTCGAAGAACTCTACTTCGGCGGTTTCATTCGGCCGAGATAGCATGTCGGCCACGATGTTGTCTTTCCCTTTCCGATGCTCTATGTTGAAGTCGAATGCCTGTAACGCTAATGACCACCGCGCCAGCCTCCCGTTCAAGTCCTTGAGCGTCATAAGCCATTGCAGGCTTGCATGGTCGGTAACGATCGTGAACGGCATCAACTCCACATAGGGACGGAATCTTTCTACGGCTTTTACTGCTGCGAGACACTCTTTTTCCGTTACACTGTAATTGAGTTGTGCTCCTCTCAGCTTCGCCGAAAAGAATGCTATTGGCCGGTCCGATCCTTCGACGTCTTGCTGGTATAATACTGCCCCAATTCCTACATGGCTGGCGTCACACTGTATCCAGAAGTGTTTTCCAAAGTCTGGATGAGCTAATACCGGCGCACAGGTAAGGGCTTTCTTCAGCGTTTCGAATGCCGTAGTTGCTTCCTCCGTCCACATAAATTTTGTTTTATTTTTAAGGCAGTCCGTGAGCGGCGCACTTACACCGGAGAAATTTTGGATGAATCTGCGATACCAGCCTGCGGTTCCTAAGAAGCTGCGTAGTTGTCGCGTATTTTTGGGCACCTCTATCTTCATAATCGCCTCAACTTTCTTCGGATCCGTCCGCAAGGCCCCATCACCGATTATGAATCCCAAATATCGCAAGTATTTAAAACAAAATTTTGACTTGTGTAGCCCGATCGTCAAATTTGCTTTATTCAAACACTCTGCCACTTCTTTCAGCAACATGCAGTGTTCTTCGAAAGTCTTGGATATCATCAGCAAGTCATCCAAGTATACAAAGACGCGGCTGCGAAGACGCTGTGGGATTACCTTGTCCATTACCCTACACAACCTTTGAGCCGAATTACATAACCCGAATGGCATCCGTCGAAACTGATACAGTGGCCTTCCAGGTATTGTGAAAGCAGTCAAGGGACGACTTTTCTCATCGAGTTCCACTTGCCAGAACGCATGTTTCAAATCGATACTGCTGATGAAAATCGTCTCATCCACCCGGCTCAAAATCGACTCAATGTTCTGTAGCGGGTAAGCATCCTTCACTGTAAGTGTGTTCAGTTTTCTCGCGTCTAAGCACAGCCTATTCTTTCCAGGTTTCTGTACCAGTGTCGTTCGGTTGTTCCAGGGACTTTCACTTACCTCGATGACTCCTAACCGTAGCATTTCATCGACTTCTGCGAATAGCAGTTGTTGTTTCGCCGGAGACACGGGAAAGAATCTCTCCTTGACGGGTACAGCTCCTTCAACTAACTGGATCGAGTGTTCTTCTACTTTGGTGAGTCCTAATCCTTGACTTTCGTAGGTCAGAAAACGTCCTTTTGCTTCTTCCAGTTGCTCAGTCTGCTCGGGGGATAGGATATGTGCCTCTATCGGTTCTCCTTTGGCCATAAATTCGGATTCCACCTGGTGCAAGGATTCTACGCCCACCACCTCTGGTGCCAATTCGAATTTTCTCCAGAAATCTATGCCCAGGTATAATTTTTGCTTCAAGGATGGACAAAGGAGTATCGGCAATCGATGTGCTAACCCATTATACGAGATGCTGGGTTGAATCTTCCCCACTACTCGATGCTGTGTACCTCCTGCTGATTTCATTATCGATTGTGATCTCTCTAATTTCAGTCCTAACCTTTCCACTGTTTCTAGGCAACCTTCCCCAAGCAAGCTTACTGATGCCCCGGAATCCAAGAGACCCACGACCTCCAGGTCTTCGATCTTCACCTGTGCGAATGGTCTGTTGTCGCCTTCCACCGCTGCTCTGATGGCCGAACAAATCATCCTTCTTTCTGCCTTCCGCTGCTGACTTCTCCTACGGGCTCTGGCAATTTTTTGCGAAATGTTCCGGTCCGGATCATTTTTCCCAAATATTCGGTTCCTGACCTCTTGGTAATGTGCTTCTCGGACTGCTATCGGTTCACGTGTCGACCATTTAATGGTATGTTCTGGTCTATTTATGTTTATCATAATTTTACTAATTTTATTCTCCTTACAGCTATCCTTATCATTAGGCATGCAATTTGACGAGGCTTTCACTTGTTCATGGCAAACGGATTGGAGCGTGGTTCCTCGTTCTTGCCCAAGCTCCTCATGCCGTTTCCCGTCTGGCATCGAGTACATCTTGGAGTCCTCACACCGGGTAGTCCACACTTGAAGCAGAACACCTTCAACACCTCCGATTCACACGCGTTGAATGGGTGTCCCACGGTTCCACAATTCCAGCATGTCAGTGGCTGTCGTTCCCTGTTGGTCTCCCAGTGTCTAGCTAATGCCTCCACTTCCTCTTGTTCTCCAGGTACACTCTCTTCTCCGACTGATTCCGGACAAAGCTCATCGATCCTCGGACGATCTTTATACCCTCGGTGAGTTTCGAGGTTGCTGGGATGTCGGGTCCACCGAGTCGCCAATATCCTCTCCGCGTCGTGGCATTCATGTCGGAGTTGATCCATATTAGTGATGTATATCGGGTATATAATTCTCGAAATCTGATCCCTAATGTTCATTTTTATTACTTTTATTAGGTCAAAGTCGGAAAACGGCATCTCTAGTCGAGATCTGAGCGCTAGCATGGTCTGGATATACACCTCGATCGTTTCTCCCGGCTTCTGCTTCCGTTCTCGCAGCTCATACTCTCGCTCGAAGTTGGATCGGTGACTCTGGAACTGCTGCTGTAGTGCGTACCTCAGGTAAGTCCACTCTTGCTTCTCCGTTGACCTCACGTACATCCAGTACCATTCCTTGGCTTGTCCTTCAACTAACACGTGAAATTCTCTTAGGACCTCCTTCCACGGCACCTGATACGACCTTTGGAGATGTTCGAGGCGGAATATAAACTCTGACACGGGCATGCTTCTGGGACTTCCATCAAAACTGAGCCCCCACTTCCGCAGTTGGCCGGCTTTAAACGCAGAATCGCCCACTGCCCCGCTTGACCGACGCTGATCCGGTCCTGGATTGAAGTTGATATGAGCCCCGCCGTTTCCAGGAGGATTTTCTGGCGGCGTCATGTGAGACCCATTCCATCTCCTTGGTTCCTGCTCCGTCGACCAGGCGGTTTGCCGATACCCTTCCGATGCGTGGCGATTTATCTCCTGCTTCTCGGACAGCGCCCCAGATGTTGGCGGCGGGAAACCCATGTGGTGACTTACCCCCGGCAGTATGATTGGCGGAGGTTGTTGTAGCATCCTCGGGTCGAATGGTGGCACCTGACTCGGATTTGCCCGCGGCTGCTCGGCAAGGCCATGAGGTGGCGGCATCGGCGTCCCCGAAGAGGGTATTTGGCCCTGTCCAACTTGCTGTCCTTGGGCCTGGCGAACCTGCGTAGATGCCTGCCATGCTGCTTTTTCCTTCACGAAATCCCTGCGCCACTCCGCCATGCAGTCATTGATGTCCTTCATGAACTGCATCATATCCTGCTGCATCTGCTGTTTAAACATTTCGTACTCCGTCGACATTCCCACCTGGTACGTATGTTGAGCTTGAACCAGTGCCGCATTAACACCTGATTTTATCTCAGATGGCAAAGACTTTGGTATGGCCCCGGTTCCGCCTACCGCTTGAAGACCACTAGCTTCTCCTGGACTTCCGCTTCCAATTCCTTCAGGATTCTGCTCCCTTAGCGACTCCATGCCTTCGGGTGCCGATATGTTCTCCAATTTCTCCTCTTGATTAGCTTGTGAGCGAGTTACTGGCGGAGTCATACCTGCTGGTCCCCTATTCCGGATGAACTCCAAACTTCTCCTCAATTTTCTTCCGATTTGAACCCTATTCCTATCACTATTTGGCATATCCTAGTTCCTTTCTCATGTATATTTGTTTTTTTCTTATCTCTTCAAATTTTTCTAATCTGGGGGGGGATGAGACGTAGCTATTTACATTATCCACTAACTTTTCTCTCCTTTCCTTCAGTTCCTAATCCGTTCGTGTCAATTTTCACAAGTATTTAAACGATTTCAATAATTTAATTTACTCCTTATCTTTCAGACTTTACTTGAAACTGGCTGGGCAACGATGTTACACTTTATTCACAGCGTACATGGACCACACCAACTCCAAACATAGCAAACAAATTTAAATAAGTTATTACACATTTACTTTACCACAGACAACATATTAAAAAGACAATTGTTTTCTTTTTCTCTTTCATATGCTGATGAACCTCCTAGCCTGGCTTCGCATGTCCCGCTTTACTTGGTCATGGGTCCACTTCTAGTCGGTCTTCTCTCTCTCAGCAAGGATTGTGCTCAGCAGAAAGGACTTTTCGGGATTTCACTCACTGTGGCTACGATGGGTTCGACTTTCTACGCCCGCCCACGGTCCAAACAGCTGGTTTCCGATGTCGCTTTCTATTGACACATTCTCTGGTGAGTATTCACTTTTTACGTTATGCTTGAAAATTTTTACTTTTATCGATTCCATTTCATTAATTTCTTAAATTTTCATTGGGCGCCATTAGTCGTGTCCTGCTTTTCGCGCAGTGTATATGCCGGCTAGTCAACGAACATCCCAGGGAGGGGAACAACCAACACTGTTGTCTACGCAGCAGACACAACAAAAAAAAAACAAACAAAACGGAAATTCAAACTCGGACAACTGGCAATTTCACGACGGATTTTTCTCGAACATCTGGACTGGACAACACAGATCTTATTGTGGTCCTGGAGTCCCTCCCAACCATGAGTGTATCCTTCAACATCATTTGGACACATCTCCCAATCCTGGTCGGTGGATCCTGCTACCTCGCCTAACTCATCTCACCCCCAACACGAATCTCTACTCACACGACTTCATTTCGTTTTCACGTTATAATTCATAATTTTTGCTTAAATTTTAACATTTTATAACCCTACCTACGGTACCGCACTTTCACAGGGAACACATATATATATATATAAATAAATAAATAACAATAAACAATATTCCAATAGTAAATAAATAGGTTAAATAAATAAATAATTTAAATGGATATAATTAGGAATAACTTAATTTGGGCGGGTTACATAATTAATATCATCAGTCTCAAATTTGGTTGTATTAATTTTCGGCTTTTTGAATTGGTTTGCCGCTTGTAGCTTTCGGGAACCTTTTGCTAATTCTGTGGCAAAATGTAAGGGGCGAATAAAAACCTGGGGCCACCCGAGGATGAGCGGCCAATTTTCCTGTCGAAAATGTAGATCTCCTCCTGGTGGCTGGTCTTCGTCTCTCCTTACGTCAGAATATTTTCCTGCTCCAGACTTTTCCCTCACGGAATATTCTATAAATATTTATATTTCAACTACACTCACATTAACAAGGATTTTTTTTTTTATCACTCACTGGAACTTGACTTCTAATCTTATATATTTTTTTTGTCCACCAGAACCGTCTGCGACCAACTATATTTGCCCTTTAAACACCCTTGCTTGTTTCAATTTTTCAAGCCTCTCTTAGCCCAAAAACCACTCAAACTTTCCGAATTTAAACCTTGGTTCATTTGGGAGTTATCCGGTTTAAGGAACCAGTTCCATGACTTGTCCAAGCTGTACGACTCCCTGAACTCACGAGTCGTCGATAGTGTTGTATCGATTTTTCGACTATCGTTATCAGTCCTAATGTAAACAGCTTTGCTAAATTTACAACTTGTGCATATTTCCTTATCATTTAGCACATAACAATAAATAATTCAAATATACAAATTTTAAAGCTTGTATGTATGTTATAAGATAAGTTTGAAATAATAAAGCATACGAATGAAGAATGTATCATTCTACACATTAACATTGCCCAAATTCATCTTATTATAAACTAACAAGGAAATAGAGCTGATGAACCTTTATTTTACGATTTATGAGAAAAGAAAAGATCTGAAACTACTTTTAATAGCCAAGTTGGCAGCTCTAGCGAATTTTTTATAGAAAGTTTCTAAAAATACCGAGACGTAATGCAATTTTGAAGCATACTTTTGGGCGCGTCTTGAAAAATCTTATCAAATGCCTCGGCCTATATCAGAAGTTATCAATTAAACCATTTTTGATAGCCCCAGCATATGTGTATTACCATGCGGGCGCATATTTTTGGAAACAGTCGTCGTACGCCAGGTGTCAAGATCATATTGGAATCGATTCCAAGGTAGTATATTCGTTAGTTTTTTTATAATTCCGCTGAATTGCCGTTACACTCGAAGTGTTATCAAGCAGCTGACGGGGTAAAAACAAAAAACCCATCCCTCAAGACACTTGACGCCATGAATGAAACGCGGCTACTTTCTCTCAACTTTCTCTCACTGCTCTCATTGGCGCTCTCTTCCTGCGCAGCAGCAGCGCAGCAGCAGTTAACGGTGCATGTGAAAAAAGTCCCCTCACAAACGTCGTGAAAATCGAAATCGATAAGTAAGCAACGGATTTTAGCTGCCCAGAAAGTTTAATAATTCCAGTGAAAAACCCAGCGATAAGACCCCCAAAAAGTACTAATCCAGCTGAAAAACAACAATCCAACCCGGCCATGTCCAAAAAAAGTGTTAGCCAAGTGTTTTGAATACCGTAGTTGGAGAAAAAAATAAGCTAGTCTGGGGGCTAAGAAATCGATACGATACCCGAAAACAGGGGCTTCTGCGTGGGCTGCTCCAGTGAAAATGTCCTGCTAAAAATAGCACAAATTTTAGCTTGAAGAAATCCATAGTATTTCCTAAAGTTTCTATGCTAGTTTTCATTGCATTTTCGTTACATAAGTTTTGAGAACAGTTGCTGCGTAGCCAATCCATTAACGGCTTAAGAACCACACAACCACCCACATATACCACCCAGTTACACAGACAAAAATAATATGATAAAATATTCATATGCAAATAGAGCCAATATATCTAATCTTTATTTTTGGTTATAATAATTTTCTGGATAAAAAAGCATTTGAGAGAAAAAACATTATTATCACTAAAATATTATTATTTAAATAATAATTATTATTCTTCGCTAAAATTGTAACTTAATATCTCAAACACCGCATTCATAGTATCATCCTCCTTTTTACAGTTGCTAGAGGTAATGTAACGCCATTTTTTGGAGCTCGAAAAGAAAAAACAAATCGTAGAGTGACCCGATTGCCGTAGAAAAAGCCCCAAGATGCAGCCGCCGCCGCGTAAGGTAAAGCTTGAAAAAAAATTGAATGACAAAATGCAGTTCCCCAATAATTGTATACCTTCTAATCTCCCAGGGAAACTATGTGAAATTCCTGAAGAATTTGCACACGGAGCAGGTGGCCAAGCTGCAGCTGAAGAACCAACATGAGTGCGACCTGTTGGAGGACATTCGCCAGTTTACCATCAAGCGCTCGGCTGTGGAGAAGTCGTACAGTGAGTCGCTGCTCAAGATCTCATCGCAGTATCTCAACAAGAAGATACCCAATATACCAGATATAAAGATGGATGGAATGGAAGAGCGATGGTGGGTTATGCGTCCTTAGCTTTATTTGAAGTTCAAAGGTTTCAAAGAAATCTATAATATCCAAAAAAAATTTTAACTATCCTAAATTTAAAAATAATAATGTCTTCTTACAGGAACATGTGGAGCGTTTGGCGCACGGTCCTCGAGGAGAACGAAAAGTTGGCCCGGGCTCGATTGGCCGCTATAGAGGTTTTTCAACAGCAGATCGCAGACGAGGCTAAGGTCCTCCGGGATTATAAGTTGGCCATAGCAAAGCGCTCGCTCTCCGGAATTGTCAACGTACAGAAAGAACTCCACTTGAGTGTGGGTGACGTGGACAAGACCAAGAAATCATACTTTGACGAGGAGCACTGCGCCCATGATGTTCGGGATAAGGCCCGCGATATTGAGGAGAAGCTTAAGAAAAAGAAGGGCTCCTTCTTTCAGTCAATCACTTCGCTGCAGAAGAACAGCGCTCGGGTTACCTCTCGCAAGGAATTACTCGAGGAGAAGTCATCCGGTGCTCGGAATGACTACGTACTCAGCTTGGCAGCGGCCAACGCCCATCAGAATCGCTACTTCACAGTGGATTTGCAGACCACGATGACCACCATGGAGAACTATGTCTTTGAGCGGGTCGCCGAGTACCTGATGCTTATGGGGTAAGTCTAGGGGAACTTGGATATATAAAATTAAGTATGTTTTTAAAAATTAAAGCGTATTTTTTAGAAATAACATATGTTGAAGAAAATCAATTGTTAATTTTACTAGTCCAAAACTATTTCTTAATCATCAGTTAGTTGTGCCGGCAATTGCATTCTGATAATAATTGGCGCCGTTTACATAGTTAGCTTTTTCAGATAACTATCATATTTGTCTACACAAGCTTAACTGGATCAAAGTTAACTATAGTTGTAAGATATGGGAAATTTTAATTTTTCCAGATCTAAATTCTTTCGTTTTTATGTTGGAGTTGATAAGATTAAGCTTTCATAAACTCATTGCAAAAAAAATGCTATGCATTGATCCTAACTATTGAATTTTTGTATACATGTTTAGTATTATAATAGAAATGAATCACCATTTAACTGTTGTTTTTTCCAGACGCACAGAGCTGTTGACATGCTCGGCTACGCAGAATAGCTTCGGTAAGATCCGTGACCAGGCTCAGCAGTTGACCCGGGAATATAACCTGCAGTGCTGCTACCTGTTTTATCCGGTGCTCAAGCAGCACATCCAGTACGACTTCGAGGCGTGCGACAATGATCCGGTGCGCAAGGTGACCGCGGAGCACGAGTCCGCCGCCGAGACCCTGACCAAGGAGGCCAAGAATCTGGCCGGAAGGGTGGTCAAGGAGAACGCCTCCATCCGGGAGAATGCCAAGAAGTTGGCCCTGTGCCAGTCACTGCGGGATTCTGGCCAGCGCACCGATCCCAACGATCCCAATGGACCAGATCTGGACACAAAGATCGAGGAGTTCCGTGATCAAATCCGTCGATCAGAGACGGAGAAGACAAAGGCGGAGGCTTGTTTGCAGTGTCTGCGGGATGGTGGCATCAACGTGGACGAGTGGGTGCAGGAGGCCGAGATTATGGGCGTGCAGGAGCTGACGCGTTCGGCCAGTTCCATATCGATGCGCACGGATGCCTCCGGACAGGGGGAGAATCCCAGCTCGGATTCCTTCTACGACAGCGACAAGGAGGAGACCCAGGCTCAGGCATCTGCCCAGACGAAGGCCAAGCCGGAGCAGCAGCTCTCCAGGGATCGCACCTTCAGCGATAGTGACGAGGAGCCCGAGGTGCGTCCATCGGTGGCGGCCACTTCTTCGGCAGCCGCTGCATCCTCATCCGTAATGGCCAGTAGCGCCGGTGGCTGGGATGATCCCACTGAGGTTAACTGGGGAGCTGGGGAGGAGGAGGAGGACAAGGACGAACCAATAGTCCCAGAGCCCAAGGAGGCTATCTTTAAGTGCACTGCGCTCTACAGCTATACGGTAAGGGAGATATTATATGGGAAGCACAGAAAATGACAAGGATTTGAAAACACATAGAAACATTTATTCAGATAGAAGAATTAGGAAGGGAACAAAGCCAATATCAAATGTTCTCAGCTTAAAACCTTGGCTTCTCACTTATTCAAAAAGAAACATTCTTGATATCAAGAGAAAAGTGCTCTTAAAGTTCTTCCAGATAAATAGATTTTGAAATTAAATTGAAAAAAAAGCCGTCTTGCAAACGGTTTTTGAGATCGAATGAAAGATATTGGGAATAGTTGCTTGAGTTTCTGTATAGCTTGACAATTATTGATGGATAATACAAATGTAGTTATAACTTGCCTTACCCTCAAACACCTTTATAGGTTATTTCAAATCATTAGGGAATTCTGTGGCACCTCATTTATGTTTTTATATTCTATAATCTTATTTGATAAATTTCCTCTCCCCAGGCCCAAAATCCCGATGAGCTCAGCATAGTCGAGAACGAACAACTCGAGGTGGTTGGCGAGGGCGATGGCGATGGGTGGCTGAGGGCCCGCAACTATCGCGGCGAGGAGGGCTACGTGCCACACAACTATCTGGACATCGACCAGGAGACAGCGGGCGGCGCCTTTAATGGTACATCCGGCAATCAATTGCGCTCTCAAATCTCATTCTCATCTGTCGATTATACCGTTGACAATGAAGATCAGACGGTGGACTCGATGCAATCGCCCGACCAGGTGTCGGTCATCATGGCGCCCCAGAAGCGGGTCAAATCGGACGTGGAATGGTGCATTGCGCTCTACGACTACGACGCCACCGCCGAAGATGAGCTGACCTTCGAGGAGGGTGACAAGATTAAGATCATCACCAAGACCGCCCACGGGGTGGACGACGGTTGGTGGGAGGGCGAGCTGGACGGCAAGTTTGGCAACTTCCCCTCGCTGGTCGTCGAGGAGTGCGACGAGATGGGCGAACCGCTCAGCGAGGGCGGCGACGAATCACCTCCGCCCACCGCGGCCCCCAGCTTTGCACTGCCCCCCGCTCCGGCCCTACCCCCAGAGTACGCCCACGAGCTGGAACTGGAGCTCACGGAGGACATGTTCGGCTCCCAGGACACGGCAGGTAAGCGATCCTTAAACTCCCTTCTTTTCTGGGATAAAAAAAATGTAAATGGGGCTTTTAAAGCTTATTTGATCTGGGTGGTATTAATGGTTATACATATATGAACAATTTTTAACATTTTTTTAAGATATTTTCCCCAATTAAGGGACATTTTCTAAAAAATAATGTTAGTTATAATTATTTACTAGGAATTCTTTTAATTTTTTTGTTTTTAGTTTTAAGTTATGAGAATAGAAGCAATTTATCAATTCTTTTTTCGTTTTAAGGGCATTTAAATTAAAAATTTAGATGAATTCAAAATTAATTAACAATTTTTTTAATAAGTATTTTAATTTCTAAATAACCCGTGTGTTACTATAAATTTAAAATATTTTCTGAGTTATAATAAATCTGCCTTCATTAACAGACGAGGACAGCGGCTATATACCCAACGGCGCTGCTGCCCCGAGTATTCCTCCGCCAGGTAAATGTCACGCCCCTCCTTACCACCTGGTCTTTCGTTTCCCCTATATCTATCTATCTATTTTTATACTATACAATATCTGTCACTCGATATCAATTCCTCTAGTACCGAACATTTGTATAATTTTTAACTCTCCACTATATAAAAAAAAGAAAACATTTCCGATCAAAAGTACTGTTATACCTGCTTCTATATTCTCTAGAGGTAAACCTATTCTCCAAAGTGCAGCTCGTCTAACTACTAACCACTTACGTACCACTACTACCACCACCAATCCACCACTAAACCACCACAAAATTAACACCAGTTACCACCATTTATCACTGTAACTACTCTCCACTACTCTCCGTTAATGTGCTATTTTGTCTCTCGTCTCCAAAAGTCTTCGCAAGTCTCCGCAGCAGAGACGAAATCAACCGATGAAATGCCCTACGATTTTTTACAGTGTTATTCTTAGGCTGCTTGTCAGAAAGTGTCGTGCCGTGTTATCGTTATTTCTCCATCTTCGATTTATTTCTTTTTGCAGCTTCTCTTTATCTCTATTATCTAAAGATATATCTGTGATATATATGTGTGGCACTGATATTTAAATTGAATTGCATTTATTGCTTTGATTGGTTATTAATTTGTCACGTTCTTCCTTTTATTGCCGTTTTGCATTGATTGTTTTTCTCTCAGTGTAATTGTGTCTTTGTGTCATTTAAGGCCAGAACCAAAGCCAAACCACTGCCAAGAAGGGTAATTTAATAATATGCTCTTTTATCAAAACTATCTTATACCCGAAACTTTTCTTCATTCCGTAATTCTTAGTGTAGGAAAATCTTTTTCCATTCCACTGCTTGAGAGCATGTCAAAAAACCCCTTTTAACCTTTGTTAAAACTACAAACTCAGTCTTTCTTCTTGGTATATAGGAACTTTATATATGTTCAGTATGAGGTTTTTGTCTCACCCATTTAAACCTTAATAGTTTCCACAATTTTAAAACTATTTATATATACTCTTCAATAAATAAAAGGTCCATTCTTTGTATATATTTTTGTATAACCCTATCGATTTCCATTTGTAGTTCGGCTATTACCAGACTGAATTGGGAAACCAAAGATATTTATGTATAATACCCTAGAGTTCTACCAACCTCCCGCATGTTTGTCAGCCTCGGATCTGAGTAAATGTACCTTGCAATTTTACTTTTGCTAAATATTTTATTTTTTTTGTTTTCATCTTGCCAAACCTAATCGTGTATTTAGAGAGTTTTTGTTCCAAGGCTGCCTTGACTTGATAATCAGCAGTTTTAGTTTCTTCCTCACCGCTCTATAACATTTTGATCGACAAATTGTAATAATATAATATATATACTAGCGAAAATATGATTATTGACTAAGCCAATGAATATTTTCTCATTTATTTTTAACGCATACTCAGTACTCATCCAAGAGCCTGGCATGGAGGTAAAATATTAACTTTCATATTCAAAACAGTTTATAATTTTTTTTTTATTGGGAAATATGAAAACCATATTATAAGTATTAGGAAAAGGTTAATATTGTTGTACGTAAAAAATCTGTTATACTTAAAAAACAGACTTAAGCCAATCTATTTAAATTTTTTTAAATTATAAAAAATTAGAGATTAAACATTTTTTAAGCAAATTTGTCAAAATGTAAAAAGTCTATAAAAAATGTTTGGAGAATTTTCAGAAATACATCACCAAACTTAAAGACAGGGGGCTATGATATGTAATTACTTTGTAAATTAAAAAGCTTTAAAAATTTTTTCACATATTCTGACACAACTTTTTTTATAATAATTGACTGTTACTTAAAGTAAATTTGTATAGTTTTGACCATGTTATCTAGCTTTAGCTAATGGTCTTATCCCTTTTTCAGGACGATCTCAGTGACGATGGGCAGCCGCCGCCGTCGTTGCCGCCGCCCCAGCTGACGAAGGCGAGCGGATCTGCTCCAGGATCTGGGGGCAAGGTCGATAAGGGGGCGGCGGCCGGCGGGGCCAACACGCTGAACTTAGGTATGGCACAAATAATTGTTACCGCTGCAACCCCCATGGTTGAAGACGGTGCCGATAAATCTTTCCCACCAGTAGGCGAGGGCGATGCGCAGCCGAAGGAGCAGGCGTCCAAGGAGCAGCCGGCGGAGGTGGCCAAGAAGCCAGATATTGCGCCCAAGCCGCTGACCAAGGTGGCGGCACCTCCCGCAACAGCGGCCAAAGAAGGTAATCCTGGAGTGAGGCCCGTGGTGAGCATTACACTGACCGAGTATCCATCCTGTGATGCAGAGGACCAACAGTCCTTCTCGGAGAAGGACTCCGACTCGGCCTCGGTGGCCGATGTGCCGGCGCTGCAGGAAGCCGAGGATCCGTTCAACGAGAAGGCCAAGGGCGAGGCAGCCGGCGAATCGGGATTTGAGGCCAACTTTGAGGCGAACTTCGATGCCAATTTTGATGATGCTTTCGCCGGAAGCGGTGGAGGATCCGGCGGAGGAGGTGGGGGCGGTGGGGAGCAGTCCAGCGATTTGGATATCAATGGAGAGGCAGCAGGAGAATCGGGATCAGGAACAGGATCGGCGGCTGGCGAGGAGGATATTGAGGCACCCAAACAGGTGGTCGGTGGGCGAGCTAGCATACCCGAGGAATTGGACTCAAATCAATTGGCACGTTTGCAAAATCTAAAGGAGTCGAACGCTTAGATTCAGCACTCCGGTCTCCTCCTCTTGGTCGGCACTTCAATGTTGTTTCTTTTGTTCTTTTAGGCACACGACCATGAGCATGATATATACTATATAGACTATAGCCACGGACAGTTATAGAGCGGATCAGCGGAACACCACAGCCACAACCACAACCCACAACCAAAAACCCCACAACACTTGAAAGCATTTTGATCTCACAACCACATCCCACAACCTATCCTACAGATCCAAACACACAGATGATATATAGCCAGACTCAGACGGACTAGCAACTTATCGATCGGGTGGCGGAAATAGATTGTAGCATTTTGGACTTACCCATAAATAAGTAAATAGTTTATTTCGGCTGCCCGATGATCACATACAACGACACAATAGCAGGATATAGAATATTTGTACTTATATATGAGGTCGGGATCCCTCTACCCACTTCACGTACAGCGCTCAAATTGTGTACATCCATTTGAATACTTCTTCTGACTGCCTCTGGGGTTATAGTTAGACATCAACTGGGCCTTCATAAACAAAACCACCATACGATATATATTACTATATTTAAATATATACATAATTATGTTAGTTTGTAATGTGTTATACCCTCAGACGCGTATGGAATACATTGATATATTATAAATGGAATATTGTAACGTTTTGAAAGACAATTACTTATGTAGCACTCAGACACGGGTCTTCGAATATCAGCATCCACAACTAATCGAGCAATAATATGTATATATATCTAAGTAAATTAGAGTGTCCGGTTTAGCAGCATTAAGTTAGACATTCGCTTAAATATGCCGCCAACAAAAGCCAATCAACTTCAAAGTCAATTCAGTTGGTTTTGTTTTTCGCTTCTGTTCGCTCCACTTAGTCCTAGGATCTCTGCACATTATAGTAAATTAATCGAAGCCGATTGCGAAATGTATTCGAAACGTATGAGCGGATCCGGCAGATATATATTGTTGTAATTGTATGCAAAACACTAGCCTAATTAGTTAAATGTTTTCCGTGTCTAGTTAAATGGTCTAAGTTAATGTTGGATGCCAGAAAGAAGATATTTGAAATTAGTGAAAAGCCTACTCAATGCGAGACTTTGTTTGCGATACTCGAATATTAAAGTTCATAACTCACCAATTGGATAACTTGTCATATTCACATAACCGATATTACGGAACATAGATAACAATGATAAAACCAAATATAAGTAAGCCGCAAACTGAATTGTATGTACTTTTTGACCCCGCCCAGTGAGTTAATCAAAGTTTTATGTCATAGTTTGAAAAACCTTCTGTTCGAACAACTAACAAAAATAAATTTCCACTTTAAAGCAAGAAAAACGAAGCTGCATTTTCTTCGGGTACCCCCATTCAAAACTCATTTGACTGTAATTTTTTTACATATCTTTATTTATATTCACTTCATTGCAATATTATAATATTCCTTCTTGGTTTGCATTTTTTCCCTTTGGATGTTTTTTAGTTTTAGTATTTAACTTAATAATATAGGTTCCTTCTTGGGTTTTATCATTTACTTTCTTGTAACATTCATCTCTTATTATTTTCCCTTTTAATTATTTTGTTATGTGTGTGTTTATTTTTTATATGCTATAGATAATTATTCTCATTTCAGTTTTTTTTTTTATATTTTTAATTTGGTTTTTCATTTTATATAACGAAATTAACACAGTCAAAATTTGTGATCAGTGATCAATCATTACATACGCATTACGTTTTAAATTATTCCTCCAGGGGGTTTTCGCCTCCCTTTCCGAGGCTCCTCAAACATATGCTTGCTTATATACTTATGTGGGTGTTCTTTTTGGATCTCTGAGGCTGATGGGTTGAGCAACCGAAATTCTGGGGGGTGTTCGGAAATAATCGTCTGAGGGGCTGTGGAACCAATAATTGACAGCAGACCAATGTGAACTGGGATAAGGGGAAGGGCTAACAGATTGCAGGCCGGCTGGCTGGTAATCATAAAACATGTTCATTTATTGCATTTAGGAACTCTTTTTGATGGACGGATAAAACCAAAAATTATATAGACAACACACTCTTCCTAGATGATCCTAGATTATATAGCTGTTGCTGCTTTACGATGGCATGAGACTTGAACCTGGTAAATTGATGGCTGACAAATCATACACACATATATATTTCGGTAGCCAGGGCCCGCGGGGAAGTTCTTTTTTTATAAGGGGGGTTGGGAAACTGAGGGTGCTGGGTTCCCTAATCTTAAAATGTAATAACAAATTTTCGCTTTTTTTTTAATTTGCTTGAGCAAAGGGGTTCAACAAATAATGATTTCGGGGGCTTGTTTCAAAATAATGCTCCGTAATAACAAACTAAGAGTATGCAACGTACAACCGTAAGTGTGTGTGTGTGTGTGGTGTGTGAATAGTGTGTTTCTTTATCATTCTAACAATTCATGGTTCAATCAATATCGCGTCTTGCTGCCTAGGGTTATAGACTATTTCTCAATAATAATATTCACTTGCATTAACTTTGAATTCATTTTAAAAATGTTTTTATTACGTTTTCGGTGCAATCTGCATGAACTGGGATCCGGTTTTGATCAGTGTATCTGTATCTGTATCTGTAGCTGTTCTGTATCTGTATCTGTATGTGTATCTGCATCTGTTTCTGTTTCTGTGTATTGTGTGGTTCAACTTAATCGCTAGGGTTCTCAACTTGTTGGTTTGCTTATCTAAATACTTTAGAATTTCATTTTTGGTTTTGCTTGTTTGTTTTTGAGACCACCATACATATACATATAATATATAATTAAATATACATCATATACATACATACGTAATTATTACATCGCCTCACGTATGTATCGACGATCCTCTCATATAATTTACTTATTTATTTCTCCCTTTCGGTTGCTTTATAAAACGTTGGTGTTGGTGTCGCCGTCTAAACAGCGGCACCAAAAATGCTTCAAACATTTCATTGTGTGTATAATTTAACATTTTACATATTTTCATCGCTTTTTTAATGCTCCTCCCTCATTGTTTTTTGTTGTTGTCCTAAATGCTCTCGCATATGCAGCACGTACATATGCATTTTCATCGTCTTGCATCGTTTAATTTGTTTTTATAAAAAAGTCCTCCTCACTATGGGCAACTAAATTTATTTTTTTTCTCGGTTTTTCTCTTCCAAAAATTATATCGTAAACTAGGTTGTAGAGTAAAAAATTCCATATGAAAAATTAAACGCATCAATTTGCCATTAAGTGTTTTTTTGCTTTTTTGTCTCTTAAAATGTTTTTGTCAACTATTTCGCCTTTGCATTGTTTACAACTAAAATGTTTTTTTCATTAATTTACGTTCTTTGGAAATACGCTCCGAAACCGTTGAGCAGCTATTTGTTGTTGTTGTTGTCGCATCAAAAATGTATCTGACCTCATATAGGGGATATTATTATATAGCATTTTTACGAAACGAACCTCAGCCATTTGTAAACATTTTGATTTCTGTCTTCGGTAACATAATTGATTTCTGACACTTGTATAGCTACAAAATATATCTATATATATGTGTGTGAGTGTTTTTCCATTTGTTATAAGCAGATATATATAATCTATTATGTTCTTTATCACCGATTTCACTTTTATGTTGCCGAGTCTCGGGTTATAACTATTTTCTTGGGGAATGTTCTGTATGGCTGGTAGATCAATTGCAGTTTGCTTCAAATCCTTTTCACTTGGCTCAATAAATTATAGTTTAATCAGTAAATCAATTATTCTTTTGGTAAACCTTATATTGCTTTCTTTTCGCTCAGAATCCTAGTTAAGATTTAGGATACTCTTTAGCCAACGTATGGTAAAAAATGGTTAGGGAGTTTTAGGGGGGTTTTTTCGATAGAGCAGACAGACGATAGAGTTTTTTTGGCTAAAGGGTATCAAATAGTCGACGATCGACTCTCCGTTTTTTCATTATTTCAACTTTTTGCTTGTGTAAGTGTGTGTGTTGTGTCTGTCTAGATCGTTAATAAAGTAATTTTCCTTGGGGTCTCTTCTGTAGTCATTCTGCTGAATTGGTTAGGTAGACCTTGAGAAGGGTTAAAGGTTTTGCCTTAAGTATGCCTAGGGTTACGTGGCCGATCCATTAAGGGTCACCACCAACGTCCTCCGCCGCCTACACTGCCAGTGTTCCATTCATAAGTACTTTTCGTATATACAGTTAATTGTTTTTGTGTTTTTATTTTTTTGTTCTCATTTTGTTTTTCGGATTAGGGTTCAATTTTGTTTGGTTTACATATAAAAAACTCGTGCTACATATACGTAGGTGCCTAAATACGTTATATGAATATATATCTCATATACTTGTGTCGCCTTAAGCCATACTCTATGTACATATAAGTGTGGTTGTGTGTGTGTGTGTTATTGTTTTGGCCATATTATGGCTCTTAACTAAATCCTAGCTTTAACTTTAGCTAACTGTACAAAATTCTTTAGCCTTACGATCTGCCCTTGCACTAATCATAAACACTAAATTAAAATTCATTGATGATATTTTGGTATGGCTTGCTTAGTTATCTCCATTGTGCTAAATTGTATTTTAATTTCTTTATTTTACGTTTAAAGTTAAACTCACTTGCCTTTAATTATGTGTTTATAATTAACTTAACTCTTTTGTTTCTTTCTCTTTGTGTCTGTGATTCATCGAGGAACTTGAGCGAAAATTCAAATATATATGTATATATACGTCGAGTATCTGTGTGTCATAGTCGTCTGTCTGTCTGTCCGTATGTGTCAGTCGGTATCTGTGTGTGTGTTGGTGTGTATCTGTGTGTCATTAGGCTAACTTAAGACGGTGCATCGTAAGTATCTTTTGTTTGTTTATCGCTTTATTGACTGCTTGAACGCATCCGAGTTAATCGCTTAACCAGATTCGATTACATTAACTAAGTTTAATTGCGAAGTTTTGCTCCTACTTTGCTTTGAGAATGTTCCGAGTGTCTTCTGTTTGTATTTACAAATTGAAAATCAATTGTCTTCGTTTAACTCTTTTTTCTTTTTGCAACTATTTGTTAGACTTATACGCTATTTTTCTTAGGCAGTTTCATTCATACTTGTGTACTTTATGTTCTATGTTCTATTTGTATTCGTTTTTTTTTAATTTACTGGTATTTATTGGGCTTACTTGCGTTTGAAAATGTCACTTAGAGTTTAGATTGTTTTCTTACGGTGCCGCAAAGTTGTCTTCGAAAAGTTTTTGGTTTTGTTTTTACTTTTGTTTCAGTTTGATTCTTGTGTTTTCGTGAGTGAGTGAGTGCAGTTTGAATAATTTGTTTGTTAGTTTAAAGTTGATATAAAAATTGGTGTAACTAAAATGAATCGTTATCGTTCATATTATTATTTCGCTATGTCAATTGCACTAACTATTTGTATGACTTATCTCCGATGCTTGCTTATAAAAGGTGCGCTCCAAAGTAATTCATAATATCCGTAACGAGTTTATTGTGAATCATGTGGCGTGAGTGTAAGTGGTGTGCAAATGATTAAAAACCTCTCGATCTTACGTGTCCGTCTCGTCGTCGTCTTCGATTTACATTTAAATTTAACTTAACGAAATCATTCGCCAAACTGATTCGCTATTCTCGAAAATGTTCCTTGCACTACGTTTTGATTTCTAAAAAATTTGGCCATTTCACTTGGAAGCGCTAAGTCAGTTCTGAATAAACAAATCAACCAACTGAATGGGCTATCAATGGATCAACATAGCAAGTTCTTGGTAAGTTCCGGTTAAGATCTGGTTATCGATTTCTAGGAGCGTGCAGCTGAAAGGAGGGGGGAACGCACTTAAATTAGAGGAAGACTCTCCGGGTGTTTTGCTTTTGAAGTGGGAAGCAAAGGTCTTTCGTTTCTTAAACTTAAACTCAGAACGCCGCAAAGATAATGGAAATTATTTAACCATCTATTTGTTAGGTGTGTTGAAATCAACTTTTCGACTGCGCTATTTCGAGGGTTTCTCATAGTCATCCTTCGTTTTCGTTTAATGCCTATGTTGCGTATGATTTTTGATCGTTATATTTGTGGTTTTTAAATGGGTTTTTTTATCGGTTCGTATTTCTCCTAAACACTTTCACTTATGCCTTTCGTTATATAATTTTCACTACAATTTGCTAATCTGTTGCTTTTGATTATTCTTCATTCATTTATACTCATTTGGTTGTTAATTCTAATGTTGGTTTTTTCCCATTTTTCATTTATTCTGTGTAAATCTATTTAACAATATTCTTTGCTTTCGACCTTGTAATATGTGTGTGTGTTTGTGTGTGTGTATCCTTTCCGCTTTTGGTATTAAACAATAAACTGTTGCCTCTGCATT